ATTGGGTTTCTTTTTCCGCCACGGCCGCCGGGAGAAGATATCTCCAAGAGGTTTTATGTACCGCACGAAGGGGGGGAGAGGGGGAGCGGGTATCCGCGCGAGCGCGAAAGAGAGACGACCAGGGAAAGAGAGAGAGAGACAGGGCAAGGTATGGGGGTACAGGGGGTTTTCTACATGCCGCGGGGGGAGGAGGGGGAAGGGGCAGGAAACGAGAAGGAGACGAGAGGAATAAGACGGAGCGAAGAGGGGAAGAAGAGACGTTACACGGGGACGGGAAAGAGGGAAGAAGATCGGTGCGGGATGCGGCGCGATCCCGTGGCTAACGGAAGCGACGGATGGGAAGAAAGGGGGTCGGGGGGGGGAAAGGGGGGTCGCGCAGCGGGGAGAACGTTATTTCCGCGAGTTGCGCGGGCGCCGGGAACACCAAGGAACCAAGGAGTTGCACTTTCGCGTACCGAACGGCGACCGAGGAGGCGAGCGACGATAAATCGGCTCGAGCCTGGTCGCGTGACGATCGGGCGCGGAGAATCGCCAAGGCGGATCGGCACGCGCCGCGAATACGCTCGGGCGTTGGTCTGCCCACGTCGCGACATTCACCTGTTCCGTGGACCGTGCTTTATCTGCCTCTATCTATGACTCTTTATACCGGGCCATTCCGCACGTTATCTGTCCGTAGGAACACGGTCTTTTATCAGTTGCTTAGACGCGCGCCGATAACGGGGAAACTTTAAGCTCGCGCCTTCTGCAGCCTTCTCTCTCTCCCCTCATTCTCCCGGCTCTCCTTCTCCTGCTACTCGCGCTCGTTTCGACCGGCGTCGTCGTCGCCTTTCGTCCGCTCGCTCGCGCGCTCGAGGAAAATCTCGCCTCCTGTCGTCCTCGATCCAACGCGGGACGCCCTATTATACCCTACGTGGCAATTATTGCGCGAAAACTCTCTTCCTTTCTTTAAACGCGAGAATCGTTTTACGCGCTATTTCTCAATGGTACCGAACCCTCGCCTCAATTCCCTCAGCTGGCAACTCGCGCTTACCGAAAAACGCTACGTTGCCCAGTAAAACGTTGACTTTCCAATTTTTCTTCAGATCATATTTTATCGCGCACAAATAGAGCGGAAATAAAGACACTCGCTCCTCTCGACCTAACTCCCCGTCTTCCGAACTCCGTTCTTCCCTGCTCTCGCTCTCGCGTCGCCCTTCGTCACCCCTTTTACGTCCCATTGGTCGGCACGCTCGTACCATCTGCCGTTTCTCCGGCTATCCTTCGAGGGCCCTCGACGTGGACGCACCTGCGAACGCTCGCTCAGGTAACGCACGATTGTGAATGTACGTGAGCGCACCTGACGCACTTACCTCGCCGACCTCTATCTACACTCGCGGAGTATACGTACACGCGCGCGTGCTGTTTCACCTGCGTGATCGATCATTGCCAAGAAATCACACAACGGACACGAGCGGCGATCCCGCGCTCGAACCTCCGAAATTCCACAAACGTCCGCGGCCCGCGCCTTTCAGTCCGAACGGACCGGCGAAATTCACCGGTTTCCACCTACGTTCCCAAATGTTTGCTATTACAGGACTAATGGAATTCCCAAAGTTCGCGAGCCTCGTTTTACCCGACGTGGCTCAATTAATCCCGGTCGAATCGATTCGCCGTGTCCGTCCCCAGCCCCGACTCGAAGAGAGAAATAAATTAATTGGGCCGGGATTACGGGGAGCTTAAGCGTCTTCGGTTCTTTTCCCGCGGAGCTTTAAGCCGCGTCGACATTTCGAAACTGGGCGAAACCCATCGGACGCCTCTCGTCATTTCGCAACGCTCCCCCGACACCCCGGAGAAACCGGCGTCCGTCTGAAAACCGCTCGCGAAACCGAGAAGCCGCGGATCGCCTGGTGCCCGCGCGGCGCGGGTTTACGCGTGCGTGTCGCACGGCACATAGACAACACGCGAGTCGCGTAACAGGTACGCGCGCACGTTGATATCGCGAAATTGGGTTACCTGGCGTGCCGACCGCGAAGACGCGCTGATAAATTCGTGATAACGGGAAGGAATGACGACGACGATCGATCGCGTTAATTTCTCGACCTCCTTTTCCACCCTCGCCCCGACCCATCTAATCCGTCATGTCGCAACTGTGCGCGATCTACCGCTCTCCGCAGTTTTATCAAATTGGAAGCGGGGGAATGGGGAGGAACGCGCGAAAACGCAGCGTTGCAATGCCGATAATAACAGAGTTCTCACTGCCTCCGATTTTAACTTTTATCGATACGCCGTAGATAGTTGATAAAAAGATATTGTAAACAGCGACGGAATGATAGATGGAGACATTTAACGCGTTCGGCTGCCGGGTCTCTTAATAATTGCGTAATCGTCGTATTTTTATTTTATAAAACGAAAATAAACGTACCCGGTCGTCGCAGGCAACGTTTCTTTTTAGGGTGAACCAACCTTTTACATTTATTTCACCTGCAAGATTAAATATCGCTAAGTAGGCTCCCGAAGGCTCCGCTCAATGGGTGCATGCGTGGGCATTTAAGGGCTTCAGCTTTTATCAGTTTTCAGTTGAAAGCGGTGACGATAATTCTGTCAGTCGCCGGGAAGCACTACCTTCTCTTTGTGTCCCGTCCCTTCGCGGGCAGAATAATTCGAAAAGACGCACCGCGTTTTCGTCGTGTCGCGTAAAAGTGCTGGCCACTATATTCCGCCGTTCAGTGGGGAATGGGACGTATATCCGTACGAACATTTTTGCTTAAAATGACCAACACTATCGCCTCCCAGAATATTGACCTTCCTTCCTGGGACACCTTGTATAGAGGTCTGCGGTGTAAACTCCGGCAATCGGGACGATCCGCGGCGTTTAGGTCGCGAGAACGGCTCCTACGTTCCGTGATTATCGTTCGTTTCCACACGCCGCTTGTGTTACCCGCGACGGAATAATCTGCGCGGGCGAATAGCCGGAAAGATCGAGCGCGATCCGATCGCGGCGCGCGGCGTAAAAGTGGCTCACCTAGTTTTGAGGAACATTGTTTAAGCCCCCTGCGACACGGCCAACCGCGCTGATTTGAGGAGGATAATTGAGTGAAAGAAGGAAGACGCGCAATTAAAGCCGCCGCGGAGAACGAGAGAGAGAGAGAGAGAAAGAACCGGGAGAAAACCGGATGCAACGCAACGTGAAGAAACGGAGTGAGACGGGGTAGCCGGCGAGAGATGAGCTCAACGCGGTATAAAGTTTACGGTACTCCTGCGTACTGTATGTCGCAGTAAATAATTATTTATGATAATGCAATTAGTAAACTGTTAAAATTTACGCAGCGTAACGAGCATGTTGATATACTTGCCTAGATTTTTCAATGTAATAAGAAGACCTGCATGTCGTGTAATTGTAGGATTTTTATCCACGGTAATAAATGCAAAACTGAGAAAGTAGATTTTCCCTCTTTACGAGAGACGGAGAGAATAAAAAAAGTGTTAAATAAAAAAAAAAATATATATAAATTTTTTCTTGATATTCTCTGTCGTTTGCTATAAATTGCATCTTACAACAAATCATGAGAGATCAATAAACGAATTGTAACAAATTATTATTTATATTGAAAACTGTGCGATATAAGTAAATACATTTTTTATACGCGTATTTCAAAGACGAAGTAGATCGTGGGACAAAAATCGTATGTATTCTCGGTAAGGAACTACTTTTAAATTACCCAGATGTTAACTCGGTATATGGGTCTCCGCATTCGGTGGAAATTTGAGATGACAAAGAGTACGAATCGATCGCATCCATCGATACGCTTTCTCAATGCACTACCTCCGGTCTCGATGCTACGCGCGCGTTGGGATCTAAAACACATCGCCCGGTTTCTCCGGGGAGTTGCGGGCCCGGCGGCGGCCGTCTCGAGCGATTTTCCTGTCACTTTCACTGAAACCCGCGAGAGGAGGAACGGCGAGGAAGCCACGCCGGTGGTGACGAAGAACCGTGGACGACAACGGCACGGACGACAAAACGTCGGGAGAGATTGTGAATTTACGATGGAACGCGATCGCGAGAGACGCGGGCACGTTTCCCTCGATCCCGCGTGTGCAACGAAAGCGCGAGAGGGTGAAAGGAAACGGCGCATCTCTCCTCGATGCGCGGACGCGACACCGAAACGACGGAGGATAATAAAAAAAAACCGTTCACGGGGAGGAGGGAAGAGGGGCCCGGTTAGCTCGCACGCTAATCTTTCGGGCGCGTTAGAAAGTCGCCGCTTTCCTGAGAGGCGGTAAACCGAGAGTCTGGGCACAGAGATCAAGGAGCGCGTGTGCGAGAAGAGCAGAGAATGCAATCTCGCAAATCGCATTTTTCGCAAACAGAAAACAAGCAAGCGCTGACCATGGGTAATTGTACATTGGAATTATAATTACGCGATCTAAAAGATTATATTAAGACGGGATTGTAAACTGAAAACGTGCAGTAGCGTAAAAAATGGGAAAGAGCCGGCGAGAAGTGAATTCAACTGTATAAGATGAGCGTCCCTGCACGAGTAATCTAATTACAATACTGTGACAAAATAATGTAAGATATTTATGAAGGTGTAATATTCTATTTTCAGAATTCTAAGGTTTTTAATAATTTAAAATACAGAGCTTTAATGTTGTTGAAATATGGAAGGTAACAGGCCGAAGATATGAAAAGGTAAAATTTCATTTTTCCGACTACACGAAAATAGGTAGTTTTACATTTACATTTCAAGCAAATATTATTTCATTTGAATCATAATAGTTAATTGAATAGATAAGATTTTTCAGGCACCATTCTCTTCGCTATAAGGAAAAAGTCGAGATTTCCCAAAGAGTATTTCAACTTGTATCAAAACTATAATTCCACGTATATTTCGTGCACGTGGAAAAAATAAGAGGAAGAAATGTGAGCGTAAATTTCTATTGTGAGCGGTAGAGGTAGCCCGTCGCTAAGATTAGGGGAAAAGAGATAGCGGGCACCGTGAGAAAATCGAAGAGAGAAATCGAAAAAGCGAAGCGTTAGCGACCGGTTCTCATCCCTTACGCTCGCATTTTCTTTCGCAGCCTCGAAGAAGCACGGGTTTTTCCCCTCTCGCGCGGTAGAGGAGGGGCGACCGCCCTCTTCCATCTTCCCTCCCACGATTCATCTCAATTTTTCTTCGAGCTTTTTGTGTCCAATTTCACCTCGCCTCCCTGCCACGCCATATCCTTTTTCTTTTTCCCCGTCTATCCCTCTGCCATTCGCGGAGTAGACGAACTCGCTCTTCGTGTTTTACCCCCCTACCTTCTCTACCACCCTCATTCTTCTCCCCGCTCTCCCCTCTCGATTCCAACTCTCTCTCTCCCTCTCTCCTCGTTCCTTCGCCCTTCTCATCCATTTCACGACCGTCGTTCCGTCTCCCTCACCGTCCTTCGCCCTCCTTTTTCTTGTCTCTCGGTCGTTTCATCGCTTCTTCCACGACCCTCCGCTCACCTCCTTTCACCCCTCTCCCAGCCTTTTCCCTCTTTCGCCGCGCGCGTTGGTTCCATTTACTCATTCCCTCTTCCCCCCACGCCTAAGACGCTATTTTCTCGTGGCCCCTTCGCTTCTACGGTTATACGCTACCCTTCTTTCTCCTTCTCTCTCCCTCTCTACTTCCTTCTCACCCCAACGACAGGGAGAGACAACCTCCCCTTTCCCTCGTTCTTTCCTATATCTCCGTCCCGGCTCTATCCCTCCCGCTGTCTCTTTTTCTTCTCCTCTTGCTTTTTCTCTCCCCCTCTGTATCCATCTATCTATCTTTCCGTTCCGTTCCCTCGCCAGC